TCATCAATGGAATTTAAAACTGCTTCTTCAATTTCTGGATTTCTCACAGTCCGATGGACCTCTTTTAAATAACTATTTGCCCTCAAAATACTTGTTTCGGTCAACCTTCAATGTACATTTTGGAAATGTCCGCCTTTCTGGTATGACTATTAGAAAAACGCTCCTGATATAATCAGTGGCGTGCCATTAATGTCAAATTCCGTATAGCCGCCACTGGTGTATTTTGACATTATTGACATTCATTTAGAAAACACCCTGTATGTGAATTAGATATTCATTATTTCCTGATTATTTAGCATCTTACCTAATCTATCCAAGTTTATAGAAAAAAATATGCATGCATAAATGAATTCATTTTTACTGTCGCTGCACTACAAAAATAACTGATGACTTGTTTTGTCTGAGTGATCGAAATAAAGTGTTTTGTCTTATTCTGCTCGATTACAGCAGAGCTTGCGATACTGTTGATATTGTAATTATTTACCTATTGTTCTTGGTTTTCAAGATAGGTTCATTAAATTAATTGGGTCTTACTGTGAGAGAAGATCGCAAGAGGTAGTGCAGAACAATAATAAATCTAGCACCGTCTCTGTGACACAGGGAATGCCCCAACGCTCGATCTTGGGACATCTGCTCTTTTTAACATGCATCTTTGATTTTCCTTGTTTTCAATAATTACGGTGAGGAGTCTCAACTGCTTTACTCTTTTCAAGCGAATGAAGAATGAATCAGGCCCTAATTTCTAAATATCTTCAGCTCATGACTGGATAAGTCATCTTTGAGATACATTCACCTCCTCAATCTTACTTATAAAACATTAAAGACCATTCGGCCGTCTTATTTGTCTAAACAGCCTCGATCTTTTAGGGCTGAAGAGTACTAATATTAAATTGTTAGACCACACGATAATAATAATAATAATAATTTTTTCACTATTTAACGAGAACTGCTCATATATTGAAAAACTACTGCCGTAAAAATGGCGAACTGTCCTCTGTCATTTCTTAGTTTCAAGAATCAGCCCCCTTAGCGTTAATATGGTATTAATTAGAACTTATGTATAGATAGTTTAGATAAAATGTAGGCATGTCATAATAATAGAGTAGGGTTCGTCAGAGCTAATTAGCAAAAGTGTTGATCGAAAATCTAAACAATGTCATGCCCAGCCAAAACTTTTATCAAATTGCTAATTAAGACCTTACAGCGAAGGCTTTTTTTTTATTTAAAGGCCGAATAGTGGACATAAGAAATCGGCGAAAATTTCGAAAACGAACTTGAAAATAAAATCATCCGATTCTGCAAAGCTTTGTTTCGATTGGAAAATCCCCGCTTTCACGGATTGTTTAGCACAGTTCATGTCCATTTTGGAAATCTACACGATAACATGACAGCTGCAGACAATACAAGCGGAATTTCGCGTAAACTTGCACTGTATACTCTCTACGGGATACAGAGCGACTTATTTGAAAAAAAAAAAACACACACACACAGGGGTCATGCTTTGTATGTCTGAATAGACAGCTCAATCCATTTAGTTTACTTGAGGGCAAATCGAACACGGAACAGGTGCTCATGTTGCGGTTTTTTTAATGTTAAAAATGTTAATTTTATTGACAGCAGGCAGAAAAGGAAAAAAATCACCGAGCACGTTGTAGTTAGGAAAAATTAATTCAATGGAAAGATCGAAAATGTGGGTTAACTCGCAAATGGCAAACTCTTTGTGTGAGCGTTAAAAAGTATAAAATAACATTTGTGCTTATAAATTTGGTATCTATAATAGTATTGTTGCGTTACGCCTTTTTACATGAAAACGGCATACTAGCGAAAGAAAACGGGATCCTGTGCCCTATTACCTCCAAATTTTCTCTTTATACGCCTATGCTATCAAAACTTTGTTTAACCAATCCCAACTGCATAATTTTTCTCTGGTTTATATTTCCCAACAATTGTAGTTTGTGAGATAATTTTGTTAGAAAAATGAAACTATAAAGAAAAACTCAAAAAATGCATATTATTGGTATTACTATTATTATTTTTTAACAATTGCAAATTGAAAGACACAAAATAAATTTGCGTGGTTGCGTTCCCCGTCGTCCGTCTTTTTTATGGGTTGAACTTTCATAAAAACGCAAGATTAATTGTTCATAATTCCTATTATGCTGAAAAAGGAAACATGGTTCTTTGTAGATATTATTTTAACTGCCTTTGTTCAGCGATTAAAATTTAATGAAATTTTTAAACTTAATAATTACTAATTATAAATAATTTATTAGTAATTAATGTACATCCCTCAAAAACTAGAATGGTTATCAAATATAAACGAGGGACAAAAAAATTATACAGTGAGATTGTATTAAACTATATATACATTCTGTATAATATACGAGAAAAAAATCAGTAATTATTATTATTATAGTTTTCTATGATCAGCGACCAACGGTGAGCGATGGGTTTGGACTATTTAAAATAATCTACCGTTGAGTTATTTTATATATTAATTAATCACATTAGTTATGAATCTTAAACCAGATAAATCTAGTGGCCCAGAAGGAATATACTCCGAAATTTTAAAATATGGAACTCACAACCTTTTGAGAAATCTGACAATTATGATTAATAAATGCTTGAATGGACATCTCGTTCCCAAGGAATGGAAAGTGGCTCTTATCTCCTCTATTCTCAAAAAAGGAAATAAACTATCGAGGCATTTCGGTTCCAAGCACAATGAGCAGATTGTACGGCAGAATTTTACGTGATCTCATCGCAGAAGATTATAAAGAGAAAGAGGAAGAATAACAATGTGGTTTCAGAGCAATAATATCATGTACAGATAATGTGTTTACCCTAAAATAAGTTATAGAAAAGAGAAGTGCAAGGAACTTGGAAACGCACCTAACATTTGTTGACCTACAAAAAGCATACGACACAGTCCCAGTAATAAAGCTATGGAGGGTCTTAGAGCAATCCAACATTAATCACACCTACATAGTAGCCCTTAAAGAACTATATAGGGAATCAAAATCAAGAATAAGGGTCGGCTAATGCATTACGGAGGATTTCATGGTGAATAAAGGACTAAGTCAGGGATGCTATGTCTCCCACGCCCTTTTTAAAATATGTGTGCGGGCACTAAAAAAATGGAAAATGGGAATAGAAATTGATGGTGGATGCTTATTTACTCTTCAGTTCGCAGACGGCCAAGTCATAGTAGCCAATGATAAAGATGATATGCAATATATGATTCGAAAACTAATAGAGGAGGGGCTTGATAGCCAACATAGCAAAGACAAAGTATCTATGTGTGGGAACTCAGGACGGAAATTTGGAATTAGGCAATGGCCAAGAAATCCTTCAATGTCAGGAATATGAATATCTGGGCATCGCATTCGACAACACTGGAACAGATGCAAAAGAAATATAAAAACGAATAGTCGAACCAAAAAAGTAATAGGAGCTCTGAATGGTATCCTATGGAGAAATATCCAAGAAAATATCCAAGAAATATCCAAGAAACGGAAAAGGGTTGAGGCTGTCGAGATAGATGCAATTAGAAGATCAATGCGCGATCGCGAAGAGAAAGAATAAAAAAGGATACCATAAAACAACGGATGGGATTAGAAGGCACAATAACGCAGGATATAGAGAAAAAACAACTTACTTGGTACGGACACGTGGAAAGAATGTCAAATATCCGATGGCCGAAAAGGATACTCCACTGGCAACCAACAGGTAGAAGAAAACGAGGCAGGCCAAAACTAGAGTGGCAAAAACCTATGCATAAATGCATGAGTGAAAGAAATCTGACTCCTGAAGATTGTGAAGATCGACGGGGTTGGAGTTTAGGTGTCGGACAACGTCGAAGGACGTTCTAAACCTATATATATATATATATATATATATATATATATATATATATATATATATATATATATATATATATATATATATATATATATATATATATATATATATAT